AATATTTACTTTTATCAATTTGAGAATTAAATATATTTAATCTATCCATTTTCTTATAAAACTCTCTTTAAAAATTATCAATACAATTCATCTAATTTTGTTTATTCTAATGAATCTATTAAATTATTAACTTTATTTCTATGAAAATCATTTGAATATTTATTTATAAATAATCTATATAAACCATTATTCTCTTTAACTAGACTAAACTCAAACACTTTTAATTCTTTATAATGATACATTACTTATTAATAACTCATTGAAATTAGTATAAATATAATAACAGAATATTGATATATTTGATTGAATTTAATTAAATATTACTTATCATTCTATCATATCTTCAGTTTGATTAAATAAATTTTACAATCAGCATATTTCAAATAAATATTAAAATCTTTAGCAGAATCTTTGTTGATTATTAAATTAGTTTTAAACTGAGCTTTGTGTCATTAAATAGAATAAAAATTAGTTTTAGATATTCCAAAAATTAAACTCAATTCGAATCTCCAGTTCACTACATTCTTTAATCATTAACACCTATTAATTATTATATCTTGTATTTCTTTTATATTGATATGATTAAAATTCATTTTCTTTCATATCCCATGTTATAATCATCATGCTGAATTATCAACAAAATCTATTAGAATCTTCAAATACATCAATTTATAAATAACAAACTTTCTGTTGAACTCAGAGAAAGAGATTTAACTATTGTAACTCAATGTCCAATCATTCTTTATGAGAATTAATTAATACACCCCTTAATAAAAATAAAGAAAGCTGGTTATACTTATAAAACTGAAACCTGTTTTCCAAGTAAAAAAACTTAACTCTATGTTTTTAATTGATAAAGAACACAGATTAAACAAAATCAAACCATTTCTCAAACTATTAAAAATACTAAATGTTTCATAATTATTTTTATTTCTAGAATAACAAAAAAAAATTAAACCGAAAATATAGATCTACTCAAATCTCATCAATAAACTTCTTATTTCTTTCCAGTTTTCTTGGAATTAACCTTCTTTCCCTTAGAAGCAGCTTTCTTTGATCCAGCTTTATTTTGTTTGAAAACAGCATCAGTATCAGCAAATGAGACAACTTTCATTCCGTGTGCTTTAAGAACCTTATATCTGTTAAGAATAGCAGCATAACGTTTAGCTTCCTTAAGCATAGCAAGTTTATGTAATTTCTTAGCTTCTAATTTTTGAGCCTTATGTTGAAGTCTTCTTGGAGTAACAAGTCTTTGAATCTTTGGTGCTTTAGATCTCTTTGTTGATTTTCCTTCTTTTGGATGTTTTTTAGCAACTTCTCTTCTAATAACGAATTTCTTAACATCATCCTTTTGTGAAAGATTGAAGAGCTTTCTAATATGAGATGCTCTCTTTGGTCCAGCTCTCATTGGAAGAGCATCATTAGTAACTCCTTCAATTTCTCCTTCTCCTTTCTTAACTACAACTGTGTTCAATACTGAAATATCACCTGCAACAATAGCTCCTCTAACTGTCTTTCTTCTTCTTTCTCCATTTCTAAGTGGTTTGTAACATCCGTTTCTTCCATCAAGAAGAAGTCTGACACGATTGTTGGTAGCTACTCCTGTCATCATTGGGAATCCATCCTTATCACATCCACCTGTAATTTAAGGATATATCCTTTGATTCGTCTCCAGTGATGAAGCATCACTTCTTGTCG